ATACGACAAATAAACGGGGCCAGGAGATCTGACATCATTATTGATGATCTGATATTCAATAATTATTATTGGATTTTGTAACTAACACAAACGAATTCAATTCAAGTTTACCTTTGCCCTTTCCTTCCTTTCCTCTCTTCTTTCTTTCATCCTTTCGTTTACTTCATTTTTATTTTGTATTTATTTTTAAAATGTACTTTTACTTTACTATTTTTAAACAACATTTACGTGGGGGAAAACAAACATGTACAGTTAAAAAAGCTTCAAGTGTTTTCCTCTTCGTTTTTCATTGTTTAATCAAGCTACTAGTATTTATCCGTGTTTTATTTTTAAGTAATTATTTAAGTTGTATTTACATTTCGTCTGTATGTGTCAGAGTGTGTAGTACTTGCCAAGAATTGTGGGTGAAAGGCTCTTAAAGTAGATATCTAATAAGAATAAAATTATGCAACTGTTTTGAAAAGATACACTCAAATACCCTAGGAGTATAGGCACATACAAAGTCAGTGTTGCAAAGGAACCTACGAATCAGAGTTCCGTATCAATTAGCTTGTTGTCTTGCACACTGAACTGGCGCTCGGTTTATTGACAAACATTTTGATACTGTAATCCAACCAACCATCATCACCAATTAATCATCAATAGCTTTAAAGCTCTCATACTTGAGTGTGCATGAATGGTCGGGGCGAAAAAATTTTGCTCTCACATACGTACTAAGTACGAGTATGTGCATATTTTATTTGAGTGTAGAATATTATACATAAAAATGGGTATAAAAACATATTAGTTTATAAATATGTATGTATATGCATGTATGTACGTGTATGTTAGGTATATGTATGTATAATTTTATATTAAAACTAAAAACACACGCTGGTAAATCGCAATTTGGTATCAAAAACATAAATATAATATTGTTACTCATTTTGTAAAATAGAAACACATTAGTTTTATACAAAATATAAATTTAAAATTAAACTCTCAGACTTTTCGTTTTGCCAAAAAAAATACACATATTTTTGATAATAAAAGAGAACTTTTGCTTCCTTTCCTCATGGCATCCATCATCAAAACATTGATAGATGGATGTCTGTCTCAATACACAATACAATAAAATAAAATTCCACTAGCACGTGTGAGTGCACTCATAAATTGAAATGCACTCACCTTCCAATTTTCTAGTGTTGTTGACAAATTTTTTTTTGCACAAAAAAATTGCATAAATTGCTTGAAAAAAATATTTTCGCTTTTTTAAATCATTTTTTGTTTGTTTCAATTCTTGTTTTCTCTTTTTTTCGTTTAAGTTACTTCAAAAGTTCAGTCTTGAAAATCAATTGAATGCAAATAAAAATGCTTAGAAAAAATTGCGTTTTTCTCAATAAAGAATTTTGATTATACATTACGAACTATATCCAATCGTTATACAAAAATATTGTGCTCTCGCCAATTGGTCAACAAAAACATATACATATACGAGTATAAAAAAAAATACAAGCTTACAAACACATGGCCAACAATTGAATTGCAATGATTTGTGTTTTTAATAACTATATAAAATTATTTGCATTCGCCAGACATTTGCTTTACGTTGCCTAAAAACTATCAGTCCTTCCGTTCAAAAAACAAACAAAAGAATTTCAATGAAATACTTATGAATCACCATTCAACACTCTCCGTGCGCTTGACCAAAAATTGCAGTGCAGCAGTAACATTATTGAAAAGAGCTATGTTATGTGATGTTGGATTGCTATTCGATACTTGAATTGTGATTCGAGTATTAATGCCTATAAAATGCATTTGGAATATTCCTTTAAATGCTAGGCACAATGAATCAATCATTCGATTCGAAAATTCATTACTTAACAGTTGAGTGCGTGTACGAGTTAAAAGATATATTTAGTGAATCCTAAATGAGTGTCCGTCTCAAATATTTCAACAGTCAGTATTTTTAAGGAGTAAATCGATTTATCAATTACCCTGATTGAGTATAATCGTAATGAAGGAATGAATCTACACATTATGGGCACTAGGTATGTCCATTATGTGCTCGAGTCATTATTGAAGTAATTCAGGAGACAGATAGCTCTTATTTCTGATATAAATGTACCATTGATTCAGTACGAATCCCTTGACTCATGCAGGACTCTAATGCATATGGCAGACATGGAAGTGCTTTAATGTTACTGGTTACTGCTACTTCTTTCTATATTTTTTTTAGCGCTGTGCTGCCATGTATTTTTTGTCTTAAAATTTCGATCACGTAAATATGCAAGTTCTGAAACGCTTTTGGAAATATACATAGTACATAATTGTTTGGGCATGTGTGTGTGTGTGTGTCTGTGTCTGTTTCTCTGTTTTATAATTATATATTTGTATATATACATATGCATGTATGCTAGTACTTGTGTATGTACTACATATATGTATTCATTATGATTAGCTATGTACACAGTTTGTTTTGCGCTTGTAGGTTGTTTTTTGCTTCTTCTTCTTCTTGTTGTTGTTGCTCTTGTCATACATACAATTATTATGTTGAATATACATAGATGTGTACATATGTATGTATATTTGCATGTGTACATGTATATAAGTATGTGTATATTCGTTTCTTGTAATTTGTTTAAAAATTCATTTATATGCTTAGGTGCTAATTCTTTAGTGATACATATATGGTACATATACATATATATGTATTTGATATATGTAAGTATTACAGTTATATATATATAAAAAAAAAAACACATTTGCTTAAAGCTAAGTTTTTTTCTTCTTCTGTTTTTGTTTTGTTGTTACTGTTGCCGTTTCTCTCTCTTTACATTGACCTTGCTACTCATTAGATGAATGCTTAGTGACTATATACTAGTTATGTATATATATGTATTTATATGTATATCTTTGTATATTTATAAAAAAAATGCTTTAGTTTATATTTAAATAAAACAATAAATGTATTTTTCTTGTTGTATGCACGTGTGTTTGTGTATCTGTGTGTGTCGGTGTGTGTGTGTGTTTGTGCTGCTCTTACGCCAGTTCAACAATTTACAAATACTAGCTGTAAATTCTTAGTTCATTTTATGTGTTTTTGTTTTTTTTTTTTTGTTTGTAGTGCTTCTCTGTTTTTTGTTGCGCCTTGGGCGCAGTCAGTAACATAAAAAAAAGTAATCATGAATTCATGAATTGTATTGTCAAAATGGATAAGTATTTATAGTAAACAAGAAAGTATGTGTTTGTCTGAGTGTGTGTGCATGTGTGTGTAATTATATATGTATGTATTATGTTATATTTTATGCTATATGCATTACTCTTGTTGCATTTATGTAGGTATATGTATGTATATAGCAAGATTGCACATTCAATAATCGTTAATAGGTAATTCGTTAGGCAATATTCTCATTCTTTTTATTTATTTTTCTTAAGTTGGTCAACACTGTAATACAAATGCTTGCTTGTTGAGTGTTGTTGTTGTTGTTTTTATTTCTTTTTTTTTTAGTTGTTGTAGTTGCTGTCGTCGCTTTAAACGCATTTATCTTGTTCCATTGTTTGTTGTTGATTTGTTGCTTCGGGATATGAATATGAATCATTGTTGCATGCTTTGCGTGAGTGTTTGTTTGATTGTGAGTGTGTGGCTAATACTCGAAGGTAAATGTGCTCGGTGTGTGTGTATGTGTGCGTGTGTGGTTGTTGTGCTTGTGTTACCTTAACAGTCTTCAATGCTTTGCTTTGCTTTGCTCGGTTGGGTCGAAATTTCTAGATTGCTGCTCTCTTTACTATTTCTTGCCATTCTTTTTTGTTTTTGTTCTTCAACTTAATAGAAAAAAAAAATATTCTTTTTGTATTTCCTTTTCGCCCGTGTTTTACATTTATTTAGTCAATTTTTGTTGTTGTCCTCTTTACATTTAGCATTATCATAAAAGTGTTCTTTTTGTTTTTTGTTTTGTTTGTCGTTTGCTCTATAATCAAGTTGTAAAAAATCACAGTTTTTCCATTTGCCTAAAAATGTTTGCTCTTCTTAAACTCTCTTCTTCTTCCTCATCATGTACCTCAATCCTTCAACTTCATCTATGTATGTATATCTTCACCAGTATCTCTTCATTTTTTATTTTAATTAGTTTCAGTGGTTGGTCGAAAAAATCTAGGAATTTTTCGCGCCCTTGAGATCCAAAATATATAATGTATGTAAAACGCCTTAGATACGGCTTCGTACCAAAAAATCCTTTGGCCGAAACATGAAGAATTTCTTTTTCTCTTTTTATCTCCCCGCTTATTTGCTTCCTCTCTATGCCGCTTCAGAATATTTTCTATCAATGTTGTTGCTATATATATCTATGTATGTATATACATATGTATATATAGAAGTGTGTTTGTTTGTCGGTCGGTCGGTCGGTCGGTATGTGTGTGCGTGTGTGTGTGTGTGTGTGTGTGTATGTGTGAGTAGGTGAGTGAGTGAGTGTGTGTGCGTGAGTGAGTGAGTGCGTAAGTGTATTCCTAACTCAATATATGCATGGATTTGTAGTTGTTTGGTTTGTATAGCATACTTTTTTGCGCTTCGCTTATTGGTCTAATAAATTCATACGTTCATAGGGATGATGGTGCGGATGCGGATGTGAGTGTGGATGCGAATGTGTATGCGGATGGGCATGCGGGTGCGGATGCTGATGCTGATGTGCATGCGAATGCGAGTGGTGCGTCAGATGTGGCAAGTGATGTTGTTGTTGCTGCTGCTGCTGCTGCTGGTGTTGTTGCTGCTGTTGCTGTTGCTGCAACGCACGCAACTCACCCTCCGCAGCAGCAGCCGCTGCCGCTGCCGCTGCATACACATTGGCGCCACCGCCGACGCTACCATGTTCGATTTGCGTCAGATCCACAGTTGGTGTGGCGCCCGCCGTTCCATAATCGCCCCCAGTTGGCGCTGCACCGCCACCAACTGCTGCAGCCGCTGCCGCTGCCGCCGAGTTGTTGAGCGCCACATGGAACAGCTGCTGCAAAAGTTGATGCTGATCTTATAAGAAGTCTATGCAGGGCTTAACTATGTTCGGCGACGACTGCTGCTGCTGCTGATGCGCCGCCGCCAGTTGTAGTGTGGAGCTGGCGTTGCCACCAGCGACCGCTGCAGCGCCCACAATGGGGGATAACAAAAGCTCGGCGGCGGCTGCAGCAGCCGCTGCTGCAGCAGCAACAGCATTTCCATTGGCACCACCAGCCGCACCACTATTAGCCGCGGCAGCGGCACTCAGCGAGCTAAGCGATTGATGGAGCCGACTACCCGGACTGCCTGCCTGGCCAACGCCAGCGCCATGATGGAAGTATGAATGGTGGTTCTTCTGGCGACGGTGGTAGATACTCTTGTGGTTGTTCAGCGAGTTCAGAGTGCGGAAGACCTTATGGCACAGATTGCAGACGGCATTGTTCAGCGGCTGCAGATGTTGCTGCTCCTTGTGGCGCTTCAGGGTGAGCTTTGTGCTCAGCAGCTTGCCGCACACATCGCACCGATGACAGGCGTTGAGGGGCAGCGGCAATAGCAACCGATTGGCCTGCGCCACATCGCTGGCCCGTGCCGACGACAGCAGATTGGCGGCACTGTTGGCGCCCACACCAACGCCGGCCGAGCCACGACCACCGCTGTTGCCGGAGGGCGAGTGCGAGGCACGACGATGGTGCAACAGGTGGTGGTGGTCAAGTGGTGAGGCGGCGCGCGCCAATGCATGCGCGTGTGCATGATGTGCGGCAGCGGCTGCATGTGCCGCCGCCCCCGGTGACAGCTCATGGGCGTGGGCATGCAGCTGATGGTGGCTGGGGAGCAGCGAGAGCGGATGTTGGCCAAAGTGTGGCGGCGGTGGTGCATGATGCGGTGGTGGTGGTGGCGATCCGCCCGGTCCCGATTGTGGTCTCTCAAACTCATGATCTCGCTCCCGTTCCCGTTCGCGTTCTCTCTCTCTCTCCCTCGCCTCCCGTTTGCTGCTGGCCGTCGGCGAGGGTGTGGCGCTGGCGCTGCTACTGTGGTGCAGTGGCAGAGTGTCGATGCCGCATTGTGAGGAGCGAGAGAGACTGCGCTCGCTGCTGCTGAGTAGATCGCTGGGCTTGAGGCTGCTTTGGCGTTCGGAGTGCAGTTGTTGTTGTTGTTGCTGCTGCTGCTGCTGCTGTTGTTGTTGTTGTTGCTGCTGCTGCTGTGGGTTATGTGGTGTGGAATGATGTTGTTGTTGTTGGAGGTGGTGTTGTGATGTTGGCTGTTGTTGTTGCTGTTCAACTTGTTGTTGTTGCTGTAGTTGTTGTTGTTGGTTGTTGTTGTTGTTGCTACTACTATTACTAGGGTTGCCACTACCACCGGGCACTATGACGCCACCGAGTAGGTTGGTGCTGCCACCTATACGTCATATAGGAAGAGAAGAAAAAAAGAGACAATAGTGACTTTTCTGTATATTTGACTTGGTAGTTGTTGTTTGTTGGTTGGTTGTTGTTGTTGTTGTAGTTGTAATTGTTGATATATATTTGTTGTTTAGTTTCGTTTTTGTTTAACGTTGTTTTATGTTTTGTATTGTTTTGTATTGTTTACTGTTATTGACTGATTTTGTAATTGTTTTATGTTTCTTTGTGTGTGTGTGTGCGTGTGTGTGTGTGTATGTTTTTGCTGTCCGTGTTGTGTGTGTGTATTGTTTGTCGTTGATGTTGCATTCGTGTGGCGTGCGTGTCAGTGTGTGTCTTTTTTTTTTGTCTGTGTCTGTGTCTGTGCTTGTGTGTTCGTGTGATTGTCGTTGTCTGTTTCTGTTTCTGTTGTTGTTTGTTTCTTTTAGTTTATTACACTAACAAATCCAGGCTCAAAACAATGTAAATTTTTGTTGGTTCTTTTTGTTTTTGCTAATTTTGCCTTTGAAGAATCGAGGCGTTCTAAATTGTTGTTTTTCTGCTCGCTTGATTTATCAAAATAAACAAACAATAGAAAAAAACGCAGTTTGCAATTGCAATTTGCTTTGGTTTTTGTTTTGTTTGGTTTTTTCTAATATTTCTTGTGTTTAGATCTTTCTTTTCTTTTTACTGGTTTTTTTTTTGTAGCAGTAGTAGTTGTTGTTTGTTTTTTTTTTTCATGGAAATAAAATATTAATAAAACATTTGATGTTGCTGTTGTAGTTGTTGTTGCTGTTTGTTGTAGTTGTTAATTGAAAAGATGTCTATGCGCGAATTGGCGCAGTTTTGGGAGAGTAGCATCGAGTATCGAATTTTTATCGTTCTTGGTGATAGTTTCTAATACGGATTACGTTTTTGTTCGCCATTTTGCCTCGCCCCGTAGATATGTGGCAATGTTTTTTGCTGCATATTTCAAGGCGGCAACAGGGTGATTCAATGCACCACAATTAGTGGAAATGTTGTGTAAACATTTGAAGAATATTTTGGAATTATTTTGTAGTTTCGTTGCACGATACGTTTTCGGAGAAAAAAATATACCATGCGTGTTCATTTTCGAAAACTTTCGATAGAATTTTGTTGGTGTTTTGTGGAAACCAATTCAATAGTTTTCTGGCATATACATATAAAATATATTTTGCAACAAATTTTGGAACTTGTGGTAGTGATTACCAAATTTTTGTTTGTTTTAAAACCAATTCGTTTTCTTTCAATTTGTTTTGTTTGTTTTCTTTTCTCTTTAGTCTTTTTTCATTTCTTTTCTTTTTTTTCATTTTAGCAAAATTTTGAAACATGTTTGGCCTGATTGATTTGTTGTATATAATTTTTTAGTATTATTTTTTCTTTAATTTTTTTTTGTACTTGTAATTTAGTATTTTTTGCAAGTACTTTGCTGACTAAATTCTTTTTCGCAGTTGTTATTGTTGTCACTAGTGTCTCTTTTTTTCAAACTCAAACGCAGCACCATTGCCTGTGTGACGCGGTTGGTTTATGGTTGGTTAACAGAACAAGAAAAAAAAATTAAACCAAATGTGCCATTTTCGAAACGTGCTTTGGGGTTTCTTCTTATATATTTTCTGTTTTTTTTTTGTGGTGTCCTGGGGGTCTTTGGGGTTAACACACAGTTAGATGTTTGCGGTACACAATTCTTGTAGGGGAGAGGGTTGCTTAATATAAATAGAGGGGTATGGATAGTAGGGTAGGGGTCACTTTTTGTTTTGGTTGATCAAATTTGTGTGATACCTTACATTTCGCATGGCAGCAACATACTATATGCTGCTTGCTGTTTGTTGTAGTTGTTGGTGGTGACAGGAGCAGGTAGCAGGTGGCTGATGGCAGGTGGGTGGTTTGGTGGTGGTGTTTGGAGGGAAAACTGGGTATTTTGTTTTTAGTAGTAGTATGTTTAGTAGAATTTGTTTCGTTTCAATACTCTTGTAAAACAGGGGCACTTAATTTAAATTTCGTATGCGCATGTTGGCTTTTAATATTATGCATAGTAATATTATTATTATTATTATTATGGTTTTTAACTGCCGTTGTTGTTGTAGTTGTTGTTGTAGTAGTATGTAAATGAATACAACAAAAGAGAACGAGAAATATGATCTAGCTGCACACAAAACAAATGCAAACATAGACAGTAAGTACTATATCGATACACAAACGTAGAACAGAAAAAAAATACTTTAAACCAAATGATATATTCTGTAGGAAGTATTATTAATATTTATCGATGGTGTGTGGTTTTCTGCAGCCCTTCACACACCCAAAAGTGCGAAAAGAGCGCCGCGCGCAATGTCACGTGAGTGTATTGGACGTGTGACAAAGGTAGCGGGCGGGCGAGCGAGCGAGCGAGCGGGCGAGGTAGCGAGCGAGCATGGGGGAGAGAGAGCGAGAGAGCGGGTGATTCATAGAAGACAGTGTGTGAAAGAGTGGGCGAGAGAGCGCGAGCGATCGCGTGTGAGAGTAAGTACAATGATTGATGCAGTTGGTGTTGTTGCTGTTGCTGTTGTTGTGGTTTGGTTGGTTGGTTGGATTGTTGGTTGGTATGATTGCTTGATTGCTTGATTGCTATATTGTAGGCTTTACTTTGACTCTTCGACCCTGACACTTGACACTTACTCACTATATAATACTAATAATCGCACAAATATGTACACGCTGCTGCGATTGATGAGGAATAATTGAAAAGTAATTTTGCGCATTTTATATATGTATATAGTATGTAGGTTTTTATTTGTATTTGAATTCTTGCATTTTATCATAATTACTGCATTTGTTGTTGCTTCTTGTATTACACACATTTTTTTTGTTGTTTTCTTTTTCGATTTCTTCTGTTTTTTTTTGTTTCATTTTCATTTCAATCATTTTGTAATTTTAGGTTTTTAGATTTCTATAACATATCGCATTTTGCTTGCTGCTGCTGCTGCTGCTTTTCATCATTAGCTTTTCGGCTCTGCTCTTACTAATTGCTACAAATTAACGAACACAGGTGCACTCATATAAAGTATCCGGTAAATATTTCCATATATCATATATATGTATATATATGTATGTAAGACTATCCAATGAAAAAAAAATAAACTTATCTCTATATGTATGTATATATAATATGTTTTTGTTTTGTGTTTTCTTTTTTTCATATACTTGTATATGTATGTATAAATGTGCATGCGGATTTTGCTTAGACTAACATTTTGTGAAATATCATTACATACTATTAAATATTTAGAACTTTTTGCAATTGGTCGGTCGTTCGGTCGGTCGCTCCATAATACAATAATTTTGCAAAAATAAAAAAAAAACATCTTTTCTTGGTCTTCATTTTGTATAACGTCTAACATTTGCACACATCTATATTGTATGTGTCATTAAATTTAGTTTATTAAAGCCATTTGAAGAATTCACTACCGGCACCTTTGCAGTTTTCGTTTCAATTCTATAACCTACATGTACGTGTATATGTACACACATACTACTTATATACCATACGTATGTATGTGTGTAAATATAGAATATATATCGAATGTAATTCTAAGAAAAAAAATCAGTGCTTATTCCTTGATGTCGAAAAAGGCAAATTTGTGAACTAAACTCTTCCTTTTCTTAAACAGTTAAAACAGAAATAAAAACAGCTGCGGAGCCTACACACACGCACACGAGAGAGAGAGAGAAAAAGGATGAGCCGGAGAGCATGCAATGCTGATCTGGCAACACTCTTTGTCTCTCTCTCTCTCTCTCTTGTGTGCCTGAGTGTATGCGCTCTCTAAACGAAATACAGAGAGAGAATGGAAACTATAACCTAACATAGCTTGCTGCCTCCTGCTGTCTGGGAAACTAAATCTACAAAAAAAAATTATATACTTTGAGCAGAGAATTAAATACATTTTACAAAAATTTGGGAACTGGGGGTGCTGCGGGAGAACTGTAGTATAAACTGTGTATCCATTGCTTAGTCTACGAAAGGCAACTAACTGTATAACTAGAGCTTAGCTAACAAATTGTAATTTGTATTTCGCTTTTGCTTTGCATAAATATAATTATTGGGTTTTGCAATATATTTTTTGTATTCTTTTCCATTTAGTTTTGTTTTGTATTTGTTTTTTGTTTTACTCTTTAATGTATACAGAAGCACCGTTGTCGTTCTTTATCTTCTCTCCATTTTCTCATACATACAAGTATGTACATATTATGTGCATATTATGTACGCATACGTATGTATGTGTGTATATATAATGTATTTTCTGTGTGTGTGTGTGTGTGTGAGAGAGAGAGAGAGAGAGAGACAGAGAGTTTGTGTGTGTGTGTGTAACTATAACTGTATGTAAATAATTGCTTTGCAAACTTAACAAACAAACATTTCAAATGCCCACACGACCATATTCTGGCCCACGATCACGCCCAAGCCCAACTGCAAGCCCAATCTCACGACTCAAAACAAACTCAAATTGTGGCAATGTGCTGGGTGGCAGATCAGCTGATCAGCTGGTCAACCTCAGAAATTGACATTGGCCAGATGGTAGTCGAAATACATGAAACCCTATGAGGATGAGTGATGATTGAGCTGCTGATAGAAGGCATTGCTAGCTGGCGTTGTGTTCGGCTCCTGCTTCGGCTGTTTTAGGTTTCGATGGTAGATGCTCTTATGGTTGCGCAGACTGTTCAGAGAGCTATAGACGCGCTTGCAAATGTTGCAGACCGGCTCCTTGGTGGGGCGCATATGGACATTCTGTATGTGACGCTTGAGGCGTGTTAAGGAGCTGAGATTCTTGTTGCATGGATTGCATCGAAAGTCATCGCCACCGCTTGAAGCATTCAGACTGCCGCCCGATGTGTTCAGATTGGAGTTGTTTAGCGAACTGTTCCCACTGTTCACACTGGTCGAGGCTGATGCGGAAGCGTTGGCCGTTGCTGCCGTAGCGGCCATGTTGGCCATAACGGCTGCAAACATTTGTTGTTGCGCCGTTG